GGGGTAGGGGTTGGGGGGTAGGGTTTGGGGTTTGGGGTTTGGGGGGTAGGGTTTGGGGTTTGGGGTTTAGGGTTTAGGGTTTGGGGGTTAGGGTTTGGGGTTGGGGAGGTGCTAGGGTTTAGGGCACAGTTGGTGGGGTTTAGTGCGGCCAAAGAGGGCTTGGGGTTCAGGGTTTGAAGCAGGGTTTAGGGTCATTCTGCAAGCAGGGTTCTAGGGTTTAGGGTTTAGGGTTTAGGGTTTAGGGTTTAGGGTGTGGGTTTTGGGTGCAGAATAAGGTTGAGCTGATCAAGGAGTCGCAGGCGCTGCAGCAGCAGCAAGAGATCAAGCAGTTTGTTGCCGGTACCACCACCCCCAAATACAAAACCCTAAACCCTAAACCCTAAACCCTAAACCCTTTTGCATTCTGAGCTGGTGCTGCTGTGGTTTGGATCTAAGGGTTTTGTGTATTTCTAGTGTTGGCGCGAAACCCTAGTTGGGGTCGCAAAACCGGAATTTCGGGCGCGAAACCCTAGTTTTTGGCGCAAAACCCTAATTTAGGGTTTAGGGTTTGGGCGGCTGCATGCGTTTGCAGGCACTGCGGCGGACAAAGCCCCAATTATTCCCGTTTCTGCTGTTTTGAAATATAACATTGACATTCTTTGCGAATTCATTTGCACTTTAGTTCCTGTCCCTCACAGAGACTTCACCAGACCCCCGCAACTCATCATTATCCGCTCTTTCGACGTCAACAAAGTAGGGTTTAGGGTTTAGGGTTTAGGGTTTAGGGTTTAGGGTTTGGGGGTTGGGTGTCTGTTGATCGCTCGGGCGTGAGGGTGAGGCGCTGGGGTGGCGGGGGCGGGATTTAGGGTTTTGGGGGGTAGGCGTTTAGGGTTCAGATTCTAGGGTTTAGGGCTTGGGGTTTAGGGTTTAGCGTTTAGGGTTTAGGGTAGGGTGGGGTTTAGGGTTTAGGGTTTAGGGTTTAGGGTTTAAGGTTTTGGGATTTAGGGTTTGAGAAGGCTGAGCGGTCTTCCTCTGTGCAATTCATGAGTGCGATGAACGAGCTGCTTGCTTCTCCGACACTCCAACAACGACGACGCCGAGGGTTTAGGGTTTAGGGTTTAGGGTTTAGGGTTTAGGGTTTGTGCGCAGCCAGGGGAGGAGGCTGAGAAGCTGCAGGGGGGCGTGGCTGGCGGCTCCATCAGCGAGGGTTTGTTGAAAGTGGGAGACCAAATAGAAGTCCGGCCTGGGATAATAACAAAGGACGCTTCGGGCTTCATCCAGTGCAGGTTAGGGTTTAGGTTTTAGGGTTTAGGGTTTAGGGTTTAGGGTTTAGGGTTTGGGTTTCCGCCGGGGCGGCTGCTGGCCTTTGCGGCACTTCCACAAGTGTTCTGGGCGTCCAAAGAGGTTTGTTCTTTCTCAATCCCACGAATTAGGGTTTGTGAGGGTTTGCTAGGGTTTGCTAGGGTTTGCATAGCTTTATTACAAATTAGGGTTTGTGAGGGTTTGCTAGGGTTTGCATAGCTTTATTACGAATTATAGTTTTCTAGGGTTTGCTGGGGTTTGCCCAGCCTTCTTAAAAATTAGGGTTTGCGAGAGTTTGCGAGGGTTTGCTAGGGTTTGCATAGCTTTGTTCAAAATTAGGGTTTGCGAGGGTTTGGTAGGGTTTGCTAGGGTTTGCATAGCTTTATTAAAAATTAGGGTTTCGCTAGGGTTTCCTAGGGTTTGCTAGGGTTTGTGTAGCTTTATTACAAATTAGGGTTTTGGTAGGGTTTCCTAGGGTTAGCTAGGGTTTGTGTAGCTTTATTACAAATTAGGGTTGCTAGGGTTTGCTTAGCTTTATTACAAATTAGGGTTTGCTAGGTTTTGCAAGGGTTTGCTAGGGTTTGCTTAGCTTTATCACAAATTAGGGTTTGCTAGGGTTTGCTAGGGTTTGCTAGGGTTTGCTTATCCTTATTACAAATTAGGGTTTGGTAGGGTTTCCAAGGCTTTGTTTAGCTTCATTACAAATTAGGGTTTTGCTAGCGTTTACAAGGGTTTGATTAGTTTTATTAGGGTTTACTGAATCTAGCTAGGGGTTATAGCTGGGCCTATCGAATACGTATTAAGGTCTAGGGTTTGCAGTTTAGGGTTTAGGGTTTAGGGTTTAGGGTTTAGGGTTTGCAGGCCCATCGCCTCCCAAGTGCA